CCCCAAAACCCCAAAACCCCAAAACCCCAAAACCCCAAAACCCCTAATGGAAGAATCATTATTGAATTTAGTAAAATTAAATGAACAATCCCACAAAGTACGAAATCGAGCTAAGACAGAAAGAAATTTTTCTTCTAACGCAATTACACATCAATGAAAGGTTCTACGAGAATAGGCCAAGAGGGAGGATCAGAGTGAAGGTCCTAAAAACTATGATAGAAGCTTTAGAATATGGGAATGCTTCAATAATATAGCAAAGACTTATAAAAGCATAAAATTTAGCAAAATTTTTCTCATAGAAATGCAAAAAGGTCAGAAAAGATATATCAAATAAGCTGATAGACAGGCAAAATAGTGGCTGTGTTCATGAGATTGAGAAGTTATTTTATCGTAATAATGACCAGCTCAAGAAATCTGAGATGATTTCACTATGAAGAACAAAGATTCCTGTTAATTTACCATTTCAGAGCTTGTTCTTAACTCTGATCTCTCGAACCTCACAGAGTATTTATTTATCACGGCTAGCGTTAAGTAGCAAGCAGTTTTGAAAATTAATTCAGTGAAGTAGCCATGCAAATCAACTAGATTTATCATTTTGCTGTATAAACTGTGGAGACTTGCATGTTCCAGCTATTCCGAACGAAAGTCTTTCAAAGATTTACCTGAACAAATGATTTACACAGAATGGGAATGATTGGTATCAAAAATCTCCAAGTATCCAAAATATGCTAAAATATCTAAAATTCACACTTTCGAATGTAGAAAACATCGGACTCGCTCTTGAATCTCCAATCCCTTCAGAAATTTTCTCAAGACAGATGATAATCCTCGGAATGCACTATTACCACTCTTCAGACCACTTAGAGTACAATTTCACACACAAAAAAATCCGTAAAAACCGAAGAATAATAAAAAAATGAATAATCCAATAAATCCCCCAAAAACTTTAAAAAATTTCAATCTCAAATTTCCCTTCGGGGTTTTGGGGTTTTGGGGTTTTGGGGTTTTGGGGTTTTGGGG